CAGTTTAAAGCATTTACATATTTGGGGATGTCCAGCTGAGGCAAGGTCTTATAGGCCAAATGAAAAGAAATTGGACTCCAAAGCAGTTAGCAGCTACTTTATTGGGTACTCTGAACGCTCTAGGGGCTTTAAATTTTATGATCCCACTATAAGGAATATTTTTGAGACGGGAACAGCAACATTCTTTGAGGATGTTGAGTTTGGGGGGAGAAATAAGGTTAGAGACATTAGTTTTGAGGAGGAATTGGCTTCAGATCCAATCCATACAGTTACTTTTGACAATATTCAGGTTCCTATACCTGTTGTTGCTCAAGAAGTAAATCCGGAACCTCAAGATGATAATGTTGAACAACTCCCTGTTCCAGAAGAACAAACTCAACAACCTCAAGAACCAGTGCCATTAAGGAGATCCACGAGAGAAAGGAGAAATGCTATTCCGGATGATTATATTGTATTTCTCCAAGAACATGAGGAAAGTAGTGGAATGTTAGAAGATGATCCAATCAACTTCTCTCAGGCCATGAAAAGTTCTAACTCTCAACAGTGGATTGATGCCATGAATGAAGAGTATAAGTCTATGCAAGACAATAAGGTTTGGGAACTTGTCCCATTGCCAGAAGGTGCAAAACCAATTGGTTGTAAATGGATTTTTAAAACCAAGCGGGATGCAAACGGTAATGTGGAGAGGTATAAGGCGCGTCTTGTGGCTAAAGGCTATACTCAAAAGGAAGGCATTGATTATACAGAGACTTTCTCTCCGGTTTCATCGAAAGACTCTTTCAGAATAATCATGGCACTTGTTGCTCATTATGATCTTGAGTTACATCAGATGGATGTTAAGACTGCATTTCTCAATGGAGACATTGATGAGATGATTTATATGGTGCAACCAGAAAACTTTGTGTCAGGAGACCCAAAGAATATGGTTTGCAAATTAAGGAAATCCATCTATGGACTCAAGCAAGCTCCTCGTCAATGGTATCATAAGTTTCAACAAATAGTTATCTCGTTCGGTTTTGAGATGAACATTGTTGATGACTGTGTATATCACAAGTTCAGTGGGAGTAAGTATATTTTTCTGGTTCTGTATGTGGATGACATCTTGCTTGCCACTAATGATATAGGCATGTTGCACGAAACCAAGAGATTTCTATCAAAGAATTTTGAGATGAAAGATCTTGGGGACGCCTCTTTTATATTAGGGATCCAGATACATCGAGATCGCTCTCGGGGTATTCTTGGATTATCACAAAAGAGCTATATCGATAAGGTACTTAAAAGGTTTGGCATGCAAGATTACAGACCAGGTGACACCCCTGTTGCTAAAGGAGATAAGTTTAGTCTCAATCAGTGCCCTAAAGGTAACCTTGAAATTCAGGAAATACAGAAGATTCCTTATGCTTCGGCTGTAGGAAGTCTAATGTATGCTCAGGTATGTACGCGTCCGGATATTGCGTACATTGTTGGGATGTTAGGCAGATACTTAAGCAACCCTGGTATGGATCATTGGATAGCAGTCAAAAGGGTTATGAGGTATCTTCAGAAAACAAAAGATTACATGCTCACATACAGAAAATCAGAGAAATTAGAGGTCATTGGGTATTCGGACTCTGATTTTGATGGATGCCAAGATAGCAGGAAGTCTACATCAGGCTACATTTATATGTTAGCAGGAGGAGCTATATCATGGAAAAGTGTCAAACAAACACTAGTAGCTTCCTCCACTATGGCAGCAGAATTTGTAGCTTGCTATGAGGCATCCAATCAGGGAATATGGCTGCGAAATTTTGTCACGGGACTGCGCATTTTGGAAAATGTTGAAAGACCACTAAGGTTATATTGTGACAATAAATCTGCAGTAATGTATTCCAATAACAACAGGAGCTCAACTAAGTCAAAACATATTGACATTAAGTTCCTGGTTGTGAAAGAAAGGGTACAGAGTGGACATATATCCATAGAGCACATTGGGACAAACTCCATGATAGCTGATCCACTTACTAAGGGACTGCCACTTAAGGTCTTTCATGAGCATACTGCTCATATGGGTGTGGTATTATTTGAGGATATTATGTTTTAGTGAGAGTTTGTATTTGTGGTGCTTTATGTTTGGTTGTATTGTCTGATCAGAATAAAGTTTTCAGTTAAGACACTCTGTTACATTATGTTTGGTTTTGACCTCACTAAGGAGGACCAGTTGAAAATAGACATGTACTGATCACATTGCATGTAATTTTCATGCTGCACATCCATGATTGTTCTATGTCGTTTGATTGTATTGGTATATGTGACCATTGATGGGTCGAGTCACGATAAATGTGACGAAGGCCGCTTTGATCCTATATTGATATAGTCAATGGACGAGATTGTTCGGAAATACCATTTCAGTGATAGCAATTTTTGAGCTCATAAGGTTATACACAGTTTAAGGAATCATATGGTGCCCAAGTGGGAGATTGTTGGATTTAATCTAATAAATCTATTTGTGGGCACATATGATTAATCAATGTGTATTGCTATCTTTCAGGATAAGCCACTAAAGTGATCAATTAAGTTGGGTTAATTTGGTATTTAAATAAGTCATGGGGTTATATGTGCAGATACCAGGTTGTAATTGTGATTTATTGAGGGGCTAAATTACAAAAGTACAACATCTATAAATAAGGGGTTATGGTCCCTAACCTAGGGTTACATTCTCTAATTCTCTACACCCCCATCTAGCTAGAGAAATTCGGTTCTAGAGAAACCCTAAGGTTAGAAGATCATCAAAAACCCAAATCAAGATTTCATCCATGGATTCAGGTATAAACTTTCACTCTTTTGATTATTTGTTAATCTCTTTGAATTAATCATGGCTATATGGTTTTAGATCTCAAGTTTTATGATGTAGATCTAACAATACATCCAAAGTATGCCCTACAAAGTTATCAGTCCCATCAAAAGTAACAATCCATATACAACTGACAAAACCAAGAAGAGGAGAAATGCTAAGTTTCTGAGTTGGAGCCAATAAACAGGAGCGCCCTTCGGGATTATCATTCCCATTTTTAAAGTCCAAATACAGGCCCATCTAGTTCAAGAGAGAGCTCCACGAGAGGTAAAATGCTTGCACCCTGGAAGCAATCAAGCCCATCTTTGTTTAGGTCCCACATTTTTATCTTTCGTCTTCCTGAGAATACCACAGGTATTTCCTCGAGAGAAGATGGCACCAAGTTTCTTATTATTGGATGGACTAACTTGTAGGTGCTCCAGGTTCTCTTGCAACAAGAAGAGGAGTGTAGACAAAGAAGAGGAATGTAGACAACCAACCAAGTACCTATAGGGGAACCCTTTCAGGATAGATGAAGAAATCCTGTGGAACTTTTACCACATTTGGATCTACAAGTCTCTTTTATAGGTGTCATCTGCAAGTCATCTGCAAGTGCATTTAGTGCCATAGAAACTCGACAAGTTTCATACTGATCGGTTGTTGATCTGTCGAATTTGAGAAGTATCTCTTCATGCACACAATCCTTTCATTAGATGTTGGCATTCTTACTCAAGCGATCTATTTTTTTTTTCTTTTTTCAATAATTCCAACACACATTATGCTTCCTAGAACGTATTAATTGTTATCATAGTCAATGCTAACATCAATACAGATGAAAATTATATATAAAAAATAACTGTGAAAAAAAAACTTAGTTTAAGAGCTACTTCAAATTTATTGAGCTAAGCAGTGAAACAGTTCAGTGGTTTTGTTCTATCAGTCAACCAAATTGAAATGCTCCACATTATAGAATGACAATTTGGCATCGCCCAGCTTTTAGTTCCCACAAGTAGTGCTCTCCACCTTGTCAATAATGTAATCCCACATGTCATACAACAAATGAACTTTGGGCTTCTCGATCTCAGCAAATCGAAAGACATCCTAGAAGTTCAAAGATAAATTATGTGCTCTACTATATTCTACCAAACCTCGATTAAAATTTTTTCTTTGTGAATTTGCCTTTTCACGTTGTTACTTTATACAAAGTTTCATCCTCCTTATTCACTGAGTTAACAAGGATAACCTCTGCGACCTAATGATACTGAAGATAACCTAGTTTTAGCAATGACAAGCATCTCCAACTTTAGATGATGATTAAACATTATTTCTTAATGAATGATTCATGATGACATTTCTTATCATCTTAACACCCTAGTTAATTTCAGTAATGCAATTAAATTCCACATAAACTCAAATCTTTTCCCAACAAACCTCAAATCCAACAATAGTTTTTCTTGTTTTTTCTGGGTTTGGGTTCTTGTATTCCCATTTTGTACGGAGGATAGAAAGATCCACTAGAGTTGTAATATTCCCAACGGTTTGGGTTCTTGTATTTCCATTTTGTACAGAGGATAGAATAATACACTAGAGTTGTAATATTCCCAACATAGTGGAATTTTTTTGGTAGGTGCATTTGCCTTGAGGCTTTATACCGCAAGGAATTTCCTCGTTAAAAAAATTGCTGGTATCACTCTGTGATTTGATTTCTTCTTATTTGTTTGTTGGTTGTTCTATGATTCCTCTCCTCATAGTTCACTAAATGAGGGGGATCATTTGCACCTGTTGCACAATCCCCAACATGTTGATGTCTGCCTTCATGTTCTATAGTCGGCTCTATATGTGTGGAGGATACATTAATTGAAAATGAATGCAGGCAAACGAGCAACATAGTTCCTTTTCCTTCTCAAATACTGATGATAACATAATACTTTGTCAGTTTTGTTGGTGGTCCTACACTTTTTGTGTCCGCTACAGAGTTTTTATTCACACCCGCAGTCGTCTACATTACAGATGCTAATTGCTAGAGTAATCATTTGATCGTCTTGTTGGATATGTATGTTGAATAGATCTAATTACGGGATCTTTTGGTGATTGCAAAATAATCATGAAAGACTTGTGAACTTGTCCTCTTTCTTTTCTTTTTTAATTTTCAAAGAAATATCTGATTGCATGTCCATTTTTATTTTGATAGGATGCCCATCTCGGTTTATATGCATGATGAAGGAGCTGGTGGCGTGATAAACATTGCTGAATATGGACAAGAATATGGAAAAGATAACCCAATTCGCGTTCTTTATCATGGCTTTGGTCATTATGATGCGCTTCAGATTCCTGGGAAGAAGGGTGGGAAATCAAGACTATAGCAGGCTTCACAAGAGGTCAAAGAGATGGTGGGTTGACAATAGTAGTTCTGTATTTTTTACAAGTTTTTTCAAATTCTAATTGCCCCAGCATGTGAGTTTAAATTTATATAAATCCATACTGCTAGCAAACCATGAAGTAAAAGATGTCATCCTCCAAGATGTTTGGGTAAGAAAATTGATGCTGTATGATGTTGAAAGAATTGTGAATTGGCAAAAGGATGAAAACTGGTTATCAGATTCACAAATAGCGTAATCCTTGGATATGATTAGCGTAAATAGGTCCACTTCTGTGATCACCGAGCACTGCATCGATTATTTTCTGTATCCAATTTTTCTTTGTCGTCTTGCTTGGCCAACTTTATTATGATTCAGATACGGCAAAAGATTATTTAAAGATAAAACAATTGAGTAAATCTGTACTCCAGTTTTAGTTAAGATTTAACAGCCTTCCCATTTTTCCTTCTAATTAGCAAATATTAAGTATACTAATCTATTATTATATTATATGTTTTTCTAAGGTGACAGCTAGATTCGGCGGGGCTCGCCCGCTCCGCCACTTAAGGACGCGGCCTAAAATCACATCATCCCTAATTTTTTTACGATCCGCTTCAGTGACACTTGATATACAGCGTTCTTTAAACGCCAAACACGATTAATTTGTGGGGTGAACGCCGTCGTGTTTTGACCCTTCGTTGAAGTTGGTGCAAAAAGTTCTATTCATTCGAAACGCGTTAAATTACGGAGAGTGGATGAAGGGTCAAAAACACGACCGGGTTCACCCCAAAATTGGTGTGTTTGGCTAAGAACGTGTAGATCAAGTTCATGGGAGTGGATCGCGAAAATTAGGAAGATGTGATTTTAGACCCGCGGCCTTTTAGGTGGGAATCTAAGGTGTCATATTAGAAAAATATTTCCCATAGTATATATAATATATTATATATATATATATCATAGTTTATTATATATATATATAGGGAACGTGAATCTAAGGTGACACCCTAAGGCTCGCCACCTTAAGGAACGCGGCCTAAAATGCCAATATCCCTAATTTTTTTCGCGATCCGCCCCATTAAACTTGATGCTAGCCGTTCTTAGACCCAACACAACACCATTTTAGGGTGAACCCATAACTGTTTGACCTTATTCACTCGCCGTATTTTTAACAGGTTTCGAATGATAAACTTCTTTGCCCGACTGCAACGAATGGGCAAACATGTATGGGTTAACCCAAAAATTTGGTGTGTTTGGGGTCTAGAGAACATATAAATAAAGTTCTAATGGAGGCGGATCGCGAAAAAAAGTTAAGGGGGATGATGTGATTTTAGGCCGCGGTCCTTAGGTGGGACCTTACGGTAGCACTAGATTCACTTTTTTCTATATATATTATAATATATATTAATATATAGTTTATATAATACTATGTATATATATAATATTATGAGAAATAGTGTATGCTTGGTATACAGCACAAATTTGTGTGCTTGTAGTGACTGGCATAATACGCAGTCACTCAATTAAATAGGGGGACACAATTCACATGAGTTTGAGAAGTGCATGAGGATTGCAACCATTTGAATGGTGGAGGGGCATTATTGCCACCAGTTAGCAAGGCATACACTTTCTCTCTCCTATAGTTCTTTTAATAGTATATATTATTATTATACTTAATATTATAATTTATATATATACATACATAATTTTCTTGGACTTCTTTCTGATCCCACTCAAATGTGTTTCCATTACGCTCAACCTGATGCCAGGCTTCTTTGGTTCTCTTTTTATGCCTGTGTGTTTCAAATTCTGTTCTTGTTGCGTAACAAAGATGTTGCAATGTTCAAACATGTGAAATCCCTTGTGTATGTTCTATACATGCACACTTCCACTATTCCAGGAAATTTTTGAAGCATTGCCCCTTGGTGGCTTGAGCTAACAGAGCGTTCAGTAAGGTAAATGTCCATACAAGTTAATTGGTTTCTAGCTTACGACAGTCACTCTTTTACCTCCATTATCTCGATCAGGAACTTTCATCATCTTTGGTTGATGCCAGGTTATTGGAACATCGATGACATTTATAAAAAAAAAATCTTCTTAATGGCAAATACCATTTCGCTGCAATGCCTGTGGATGATGCCAAAAACTTAGGTGACGAACCAAAGAGCTCTTGTTTGTAAACGTCCATGTTCCTTGATGCAGGTTGCTGGCTAACTAGCTCACAATTTTCGCCTATGCAGGAGATAAACTGAGATAACAGGAAGCCATCAGCATGTTGTACCAAGCCATCAATGTAAGGTTGAGAAACCAAGTTGGATGATACCGAGTTGCTTTTTATATCGAGTGAAGTTGCTGTCGTTCCTGTAATCAGAATTTAGTTACCGTGTTCTTGTGCATATATCAACGGAAACAAACTTGCTCGAAAGAGGAATACAGCCTTGCTTTTTCATTTTAATCTCGAGATATCGGTCCCAAAAAAAACTTTGTTGTCATCAGGAAAGACTACTTTCTATATAAACTTTTAATTAGAGTGAGGAGAGGATCTTGTCAGTCACTCATAAGAGGAACCTCACTGATGTAGAAAGTAATTAGCTCCTGTTTTCCAATAACAAGTTGTCAGAAAAATTTTATTAGGTAGGGTATAGATGAACATGAGAATAATGGAGCATAATGATAGTATAGTCTCGATAGTATAGTCTCTGGTGCTGGCACGCATAAATGACACCGATAACGGAGAATATTGAGACCTTTCTTCATTCCGAAAGCTCGGTAACTCTTTTCTTTGATTGCATTCCAAATTTCTTAGAGAAGTAGGCAGCAGTCTCTTCATTCCAAAATGTCCGTAGTCCTTGCGCTTGGAAATTTCTTCGTCTTGACTTCTATGCAGAGGTATGAAAGGATTGAAAAGATGAGGAGATAAAGCAACAGATGCATGAATTAATCTATAGTTTCGATGACCTCGCAAGTCGAAATTGTGTTTTTCCCCCCTCCCTATGATTACAAGAGTATGTAAATTAGCTTCAATCCCAACCTACCACCTGAACTTTTAAAGTTGTCTGTGCTTACATTCTGAACTAATTTCGGTCTCACCTTTACAAACAATTAAAGTCGTCCATGTTTATCCTCGTACTATCTTCTGTTCCACTTTATCTTCTAAGGGCCTGTTTGGTTGCTTTCCTTCATTTCCTAAATACACCTTTCCTTTACTTTCTTTTTTTTTTGGTGTGTTTTTTCACTTTCTTTAAAAGTGTTTCTTGTGTTTGTATCGCCAAAAAACATGGGTAAAAGTAATTTCCACCACTTTTTTAGTTTTGTTCAACTTGTAGAAAAAAACAATTGATGTGTGAATAGATTTCCCCATTCTCCGGTGTTTGGTTCAAATTAAACAAAAAAGGAGAAGAAAATCATAATCATGGTCATCACGGTGTGCTTACGATCCATATAAGACGAAATCGTTGTCAGCATAAATTGAGGGGTTAATGTACCCATCATCATCGCATAAAAATGTTCAAATATTTGAGAGACTAATCTGCAAACATGTTTAAAGATTTAAGGAAGTAATTTGCAAAATGTTTTAAAATTTTTAGGACCAATTTCAAAATATAAACATTTGAGGGAGAAATTTCAAGATATTTTGCTACCAAGATTATCTTTTTTCATGAAATTAAAAGTGTGATTACATTTTATAAATTAAAGTGTAAGTAAATTGTTGGCTAGTTGAATAGCTAAAGGGGTTTGTAAATTCTTAATTATTTTGGCTACAAGATTCAAGCTTTTGTATCATATCTACAAGCATAGCAGCAAATTAGAAAGCCCCTTTTAATACCAAAAGCTCTCTCAACAACAGCAAATCCCTTCACCAAGATCCTTCATTCCGGAGAGCTTCCATCAAAATATAAAAAATTAGTTACCGAAATTATCTTCATTCGTGAAACTAAAAGTTTCATTACTTTATGGTGTTTACCATAGTCCGCGCCTTCATCGCCGACGAACCCACCTTCCAAAAATTCGCTGATGCACACTTGACTGTCCTTGATCTCAACAGACATGGAATCCTCTCCCGCTCCAAGCTCTGGAGCTTCGAATAACCCTTGTTATGACATCAATTAATCCAAGTGTTAATTCTCCTCTTGGAGTCGACACGTGCCCCATGTCAACATTAATCAATCACGCCAGCTCACCCTCGCTAGGGGCGACTTGGGTAGCTTGGACACTCGACCCCTCCTGAGCTAGGCTGGTCGAGCCCAGCTCCCCTTCGACCTCATCAATCGAGTCGACCACCCTCATTCACCCCGAGCTGGGTCGACATCTTGCGTGGCCGACTCGAGAGGCGGTACTTGTCTGCCTACCTATCAGAGTGATCCTATGAGCACCCCTACTCAGCCCGCTATATCAGCCGACAACTTGCGTAACCGACTAAAAAAGGCAGTGTTTGTCGACCTTCAGCTGAACGACTAGAGAGGCGGTGTATCCTCGAACCCC